ATATTTCGTTATATCATTATATATATTTCTTTATCTCAGTGAAAAAATCCTCCATTCAAAAATATTAAAGTATTTGTATCAAAATATACTCGAAGTACCAACATTTAAATAAGTAATTTTGCAGAATATTACATGCCTATTACAGATTCAACTTAATGTTATATCATTAAATTATCAATGCATTTATGTCTTATTCTTAGTTTTAGTTTTATGAACAAGTAAAAAGTGCAATATTTGCCATCAATCTTTCTTCTGTGTCTCTGTTCCTGTGTGTGTAGACGCTCCTCTGTCTGGAGAAGGCCATCGTATCTCAGCAGCGTTTGAAGGTGCTGCTGCAGAGCTGAAGGGGTCAGAGGTCAAACTGGCTGTAGTGGATGTGGCAAAAGAGAAAGAGCTGGCCAAAGAACTCAACGTGGCGGGCTTCGCCACAATCCTGCTTTACATTTCTGGAGATAAACTCAACCCTGTACCCTGTCCTGGTACGTCCAAATAATGTCCTTAATACTGTAGATACATTGATATTAGCCTATATAAGATAAGCAAGGGTTAATTAGGAACTAACAGGGTTGTGATTGCAGTGATTTCTTCTTATGATAATGTGCCTGTACAGTACCACTTTTATTCTATGTTTTTTCATCTGCAGTCATATCTCTTTTCTTTCTTTGTTTGGCCATAGTAACCGGCTCTAGGCATTGTTATTTCATATTAACCTTAAAATGATTTGTGATTGTGATGAAGTTCCTCAGAGCTCGGCCTCTATCTTGACCTGGCTGAAGAGGCGCTCTGGGTCTGCTGATGACCTCATCGCTGATCTTAGCCAATCAGAGGCCTCAGAGGAGCTGACGGTGGTTGGATTCTTCAAGGTAAAAAAACATCGCTTTGATTTACCGGCTTCCCATTTGAGTCACGACTGTTATCCAACTGTCTGACTAACAAAGTGTGTGTTTTGAATGTGTGTGTAGGAGCTGAACAGCGAGTACGTCCAGATGTTTTACGCTGCAGCGACCGACCTTCCTGACATTAACTTTGCTATGACACAGAACAATGACGTTATCAGCAAATATGGTCTCACACATGATGTTGTACTGCTGTTCAAAAAGGTACTTTAAACACAACCTAGACACTAACCCCTGAAATACAGCTGCATAGGTCTGTGTCTCTCTGTTTTATTTTTGGATGCAAAAGATGGGATTTAAATAATTAACCTATCATATCAAGCTGAACACATTCATTTCATTGCATTCTTCTTACCCATGTGTGTGTTTGTGTGTGTGTGTGTGTGTGTGTGTGTGTGTTGTGTGTGTGTGTGTGTGTGTGTGTGTGTGTGTGTGTGTGTGTGTGTGTGTGTGTGTGTGTGTGTGTGTGTGTGTGTGTGTGTGTGTGTGTGTGTGTGTGTGTGTGTGTGTGTGTGTGTGTGTGTGTGTGTGTTTGTGGTTGTGTGTGTGTCTGCTGCAGTCTAAGCTCATCCAGGCTTACAAAATGATGCCTGAGACATCTAAAGAGATGCTGATCATTTTTATCACCGTCTACCAGATGGAGCCAGCCACTGAGTACACCGGACAGGTAGAGTATTAGACGCATGGCATCATTTTCACACTGTCGAACTGCTCTACTCCCAGGTCTGGAAATGTTCTCTAGGCTTTTTATTTTTTATTTAAACTCTCTGTCCTATGTTATTTGTTAGATTGTGGTCTGCAGGTTCAACTATCTATTTAGGTTGAAAATCTGAAGTTAATTTATGTCTTTTTTCCTGTACATAGGGCCAGACTTTTCACTTTATTTTGTGGATTTTGTTGTTTGAACTGCATCCTAAAAATACAACCCATCCGTGAGATTGGAACAGTACAATAGGATGAAAAGCATGTTTAAAAAAAGAATAATGGGTAATTCCAAAATAACAAAGACTGTCTTTTTTTAAATCGAAATTTTGATTTATTTTAATAATTTGATATTTTTGCACATTGTATTCCACTTGAAAACCAACAAGACATTTTTGGTGTTGGTAACCAAGTAGTGTTATTTTGCATATATAAGAAGTGTAATGTAACTTGATAGGAATAACATTAAAAAACAAGACATTTTGTGGCGTTGTATTCATTCATTTGTTATGAAAAACCACATAACCATATATTGTTAATGCTGATGTATTTATGCTATTCTCTCTCTTGCAGACATCCACTCAGATACTAACTTCACCTGTGTTAAACCATGCCCTCCTGTTCGTCAACACGAGCTCTGCTGACTTTAAAGAGATCCACTCTGCTTTTAACAGCGCTGCAGAAGCATTCAGGTTAAAGGTAGAAACCAAACACATTATTAACATCAGCACATATGAGAAGATGGAGTACTTCACCTCTGCGTGTGTTTTTATTCAGATGTTGTTTGTGTGGGTGAACGTGGATGAGCCTCGTAACGGCAGGCTGATGGAGTACTTCCGTGTTCGGGAGTTTGAGGCTCCTCTCATACGGATGGTCAACCTTACAGACCATGTGACCTATCACCTGCCTTCTGACACTCTGGATGTACAGACCATAAAAACGTTCTGCCAGTCCTACCTAGACGGCAAGGCTAAGGTAACTTTCAACCTCACCTGGTGTGTGATACATGGACACTGAAGGAAAGAGTGTTGTGATTTAAATGTGTTTGTGTTGATGTAAACAGCCTAAGATGCAGAGTGAGCCGATACCTGAAGGATGGGACACACAGCCGGTGAAGGAGCTGGTGGGAATGACTCTGGAGAAAGTGGGCTTTAACCCTGACAACACTGTTTTCGTCATGTTCTGTACGTAAAAAAACCTTCTTAGTTAAAAGCTATCCAGTAAACTTGGACTTTTAGATATGTACAGGTAAAAAGACACTTAGATACTTAATACTAAGCTTAATGAGGTTCAAAAGTGGAACATTTAGGTTACATGTAAGTACGTCTAACATCAATTTAAAGCTGGAGTATTCAACATTTTATTGTATCAAGTTACTATCAGCTCTATGAGGGTTTTAGTGTCTTTCAGCTTATTTTTAATTCGTAGAGTTCAATTTACTTTTATTAACACTTTTTCTACCTTGTAGTTGTTAACAGTTCCTATACATGTGTTGTCAGGTCAGCAAAGAACTCGTAATGGAGCCTTTAGCTGTTAACTCAAGAGATGGAAGAGACCAATAACAGAGCCAAAAGAAGGGCGAACACTTGACTTACATTCAGAGGGTGGCCAGAATCACGACTCCTAATGAAGGGTTATGTTTTTGTATATCTGCAGAAAGGGTACTGTGCATATTAAACTGCTTGCTAACACATTTGCCAGAATAACTTTTAGGTAATGTAGGTTTAAAAATAATCACTTGACCCCTTGAAGTAATTTGATCTTGGAATCATCACACTGCTTTTTATCATCTGCTGTTTTTTGTTGTTTTCTTTAAGCTGATCTAACTTGACACTTCCTAAAAATGTCTTTATAATAAATGTGTGTTTCAGATCTTCCCTACAGTCCTGAGTCCCACGCTCTGTTTCCACTGTGGGAGGAGTTGGCCGAGGCCTTGAAGGAGCGAGAGGACGTGGTCGTCGCTCGCATAGATGCCTCAGCCAATGACATCCACATGTCAATGCAGGGCGCCTACCCATCCCTCTGCCTGTTCCCTGCTCTACATGCTGAACGGGTGAGTCAATTATATATTTTTGTGTAATTTCTTATGAATCGTATCAATATTTTATTGGATCAAACAGCAGCAGTTCACATTGTCATTTTTAGTTCGGGCCTGGATTATCTCTTTGTAATTGATTTTTTCTAGCAGCCACACTCCCTTTTCCAAATAAATATTTGCTTGTATATTTGTGGATGTTGAATCTTGTCGCCCAAAAATAAGTTTGTCCCAATTCAAAAATATTTCTGTGCCAAATATAATCACCAACTCTGTTTCAATATATAAATTGGAGGATTTGACAGTACACATGTGTGTAAATGAGGAGAGATATGCTGTATATTGTAATATTTCGCTTTATGTCCTCTGCATAAAAAGGCACTTAAGTTCAAATGACTTATGAACGATATGGGATTGTATGTGTTATCTCTGCTCTGTGGGGAAAATGGGACATATATAGACGTACAAATGTTCATTGTATGATGTCTGTGTTTACTGTCAGGTGGTGGTTTACAACGGTAAGAGGAAGGTAAAGGACCTGCTGAAGTTTTTAGATAAAGAGATGGAGAAAGCCAAAAAAGACAGAGTGAAGGTAAAATATCACTCCAAAAACACCAGCAACATGACTGCAGTTTTTTGTGCGGCTGTGAGTTTAAGAAGCTGTCTTTTTTCTTTTTTAATCCAAGTTAAGAATAAACTTATCTTCTTTGTGTTTCCAGGAGGATGAGGACAGGAGGAAGTACATTGAGGCCGCAAAAGCTGAAGAGGCAAAACAAGCCAACCAAACCAAAGACGAGCTTTAATACAGAAACAAAGAGAGTGTGTGTTTGTGTGTTTGTGTGTGTGTGTGTGTGTGTGTGTGTGTGTGTGTGTGTGTGTGTGTGTGTGTGTGTGTGTGTGTGTGTGCGCACGTGCTCACGTGCACGTGCTCGCGTGCATGTGATTGTCTGATACCTTTTAGTCAGTACTCTCTGAACACAAATCAGTTTTATGTACCAAGCTGTCATTGAAGATCCAATAAAATAAAAATAAATGCTTCAGTTCATAGCTCTGATTTTATTGTGTTCAAGAAAATATAAAAAATATGAACATCATACATTATATACACACAAAACGTTGACATTAATGGTATTCTTTCACTGTAAAAAATTAAGTAGCCTATAGATGCTCTGCACCTGACGTCACTGTAAGAGGAAGTCACTGGGGTTATGCCCACTGACATACAGCCATGCTGCTTCACCATTGGACAGATCTCTTCATAAAGCAAAAAGTCAATCAATTTGAATGACAAGTTTTGCGTAAAATCTTCAATTTGCACGAGATTATTCTGTTAAACAAATGAAGAAGATAACATTATGAAGATATGGTTCCACTGAGAATGAATCAATGTTAATTAATAGTCTATCGAACTAGCCCTTCTGTAATTATAACAATAAACAGGTTTGTGGAACTTTGGTTTGCATTATGCATTTGCAAGCATGTAATAGGCTATCTATCCACTTGTAGGGGGCGTCTTCCTTTCAAAACAGTATTTAAAAAAAAAACATAAACCAAAAAAAAAACAATAAATGAAACAAGGTTGAACACAAAGCAATGGTCAGAATTGAATAAAAACCCATAATGGTAATTGCCAGTGTGTTCTGCGGTCTGTCCTTCGGTGACGCGGTGTGACTTCACTCGGAGGCTGAGCAGCACGCTCCGCGCAGCTCGCACCGACTCCTCTGCTTCTCTCTGCGGGCGCCAGGCTGCACTAAGCCGGAGGGATGGAGTCAGCGGGCGCGTACGGAGCCGGTAAGGCCGGCAGCGTCACCTTCGATCCGGTCGCATTCTTCACGCATCCCCGGACAGTGCTCAGACTGATGTCGTGGGTAAGTAAGCCTTCTCTGCAACGTGTGGGTTGCCATCAATGGACAGGCCTATCGTTACCTGCACCCCCCTCCCAACGCTGTCTCCCATTCACAATGTCTCCGTCTCTCGCTCTGTGCTTTGGTGTCTTTTATCAGGTTATTATTCATATACATTAGTCGGTCTATGTATTTTAAATAAAATGCTCGGTATTTATTGTTGTATTTTGAATCTCTGTGCCGGGTCTGTCTGATAAATAAAAAATGATTTCAGTGATGCAGCTTGTGGCTGGAGCTCCAGGAGCAGCGTCAGATTACCATATGTTTATCTGGAGCCTCTTTGTGTCTAGATGTGAACGCTTTGGATATGAATGCCCTCTAACCAGAATGTAACACCTCTCTGTGTCTCTCGCTACTGTCTGTGATACTGTGCAGATGTGAGTCACCACACAGCGTTTAATGTGCACTGAAGGAACAATTAGGTTTTAAAGGAGACAAAGCAAGGAAACAGAAGCACACAATAAACCATCTTTCTTCTTTGACTCAATTCTGTTCACAATGGTTTGTCCTAGCCAATTTGTCAGTGCTCCTTAGCAAACAAAATCAAGTTGAGTGGAAGCATTCAGATAAGAAAAAACAAACGTATTACAGAACCAATCAGTGCAATTAATTGTGTTACAATGAAATTAATTTATATATGGGAAATAGTGAAAGATTACCCAAAATGTCCTAGATCCAATGGTGATGATCAACAAATAGCTTATTATGTCAAACCAAAACCCCCAAATAGTAATGTTATCATAAGACAACGGCAAGCAGTGTGATGCAACAGGAAATGTTTTGCTTGAAAAATGTATTTATTGAAATATGTAGAAGTAAAATGTCAATATTACATTAGCATGATCCACAAATCATAACTAAGAGTTTTCTCTATTTTCTATGCAAAATACTGTTTCTAATAACTACTGATATTATGCTCTGTGGATTATCCACAGTAACCAAACTTTTTTTTTGATGGGTATCTTAATGTTTCTGCAAATAAAGCAGAAACTGTGTGTTAGCCTTTATATAATTGAATGTGGCAAAATGTTTTGTAATTTAGGTGAAATTACCCTTTAACAAATTCTGGGTAATCTCTACTTCACCAAACTGAATGAACATTTGGTGTACAGCCAGTGTACAATGCTTACAATGAATCCAAAATCAGTAAAACGTTGCCAATTACTGGGGAAATGACTCTCATCTCACAAACACTTGAAAAGGACCAGTGTTTGTCTATGGTGTGTGAGATGTGTGGCGTGTATGGGGAATGAAAGTCATTCATAGAGCAGTGTGAGTTCATTCTCTTCCTCCTGTTACAATAATAAAGACCCTCACGTGTCTCCCCTGCAGGTCTTCTCCATGGTGGTGTTCAGCTGCATCGTGAACGAGGGCTACATCAACATCGGCAGCGAGCGTTTGCTATGCGTCTTCAACAACAACGCTGACGCCTGTAACTTTGGTGTTACCATAGGCGTGGCCTGTTTCCTCGGCAGCATCTTTTTCCTGATCCTGGACGTTTACTTCCCCTCCATCAGCAGCGTCAAGGACAGAAGACGGGCTGTCCTGCTGGACCTCGTCTTCTCTGGTAAATATACGCACACAAATACAGTGGGAGGAAAGTTACTAAGTACATGTACTGAAGTGTTTTACTTAAGTGCAAGTTTAAGATTCTTGTACTTCAGTATTTTCCTTTCGTTTACCACTTTATACTTAGTTTGGGTCCCTTGGAATGATTTGACACATTTTTTAAACTTGTTTAATCATTGTTATGTAAAAGAACAAAAAAAGAGAAATGTGTTAGAAGTACATTAGACATGTGTGAAACATTTGCAGATTTTAAGCTTTTTATATTTGTTAGATTGTTTCAATATATGAAGCCTTTCAAAGAAACAAGAATTATGTCATGCTAAAATAAATACTTTCCTTCATGTTATTGTATCAATATTTGTAGTCCAATAATGTAGTAATGAGTAAGCCTACATGAATAGTACCCTACTTAAAATGTTGGTACTGATGGTATGTTTTGATGAAAACATACATTAAAAGTACCCCCGTGTTTACACCTTCAGGTCTTGCCAGCTTCCTATGGTTTGTTGGCTTCTGTTTTCTGGCCAATCAGTGGCAGGCTACCTCTCCAGACGAGCTGCCATTGGCCCAAGGCTCCGACGCCGCCAGAGCCACCATCGCTTTCTGCTTCTTCTCCATCCTGACCTGGGTCTGTATGCTTATACCTGTGTGTGTTAAACCTTTCATCTCTCTTTTCATACATGTGTGAATGTGTTCATCATCATCATCATCATCATCATCATGTTTGTGTATATGTGTGTGTATTTCAGGGTTATCAGTGTCTGCTGGCAATGAACACATTTAAGAGCATTACCTTCATGGAGGACAAGCAGAGGCTCCTACCAAAGAGCCCTACCACCCTCTCTCTAGCCTAACACACACACACACACACACACACACACACACACACACACACACACACACACACACACACACACACACACACACACACACACACACACACACACACACACACACACACACACACATTCACGGAGTCACGTTTACTTCAGTGATAGTAGTTAAGTTGTATAACTGACAAATTCAGAGTAGGGCTTCAACAACTGAATTATGTTATTTTTCAATTCAATTCTGCTAGGAGAAGAGAAGTGAAAAAAAGTAGTTACCCTGTCTTTATTATAACCAAAACATGGTCATAACTTTGTGGGTCAGTGGTGCCCTAAAGTTTATAGTTTTTAGAGTTTGATCCACTGACCAGCAGGATACATTTTGTGGGCAAAGTGTAAAAGCAGTGCTTCTTTCATGTCCTCCATTACGACCATAAAGCTGCCCGTGAGCAAGGCCCTTAAGCTGCTCAGTAGCCAGCAGGTCAGACTGTGACAGTTTCCAGGTGTGACAGTGTGATACTGTGGGGACAGGGTGTTCTTATAAAAGAGCTGCCCTCAGCGAGATTTGAATAGAAAGTTTAGAAATATCCCAGAGAACATTGTCAACTGATTTATTATCCATTGACAACTCAATAGAGCTTGTTAAAACAGTTTGACCACCAAACCAATAGCAGCCATTCATCTCACTGTCAGAGGATGTGGAGAGGTTGAACTGTAATTGTTTCAGGGATGTACAGTATGTCACAAAAGACTATTTTTAACCCAATAGTTCTGCGGCAAATCTTTTCAATATTCTTCCGAAGAGGATGTATACGTAGCATTTTGAGAGCCGTTTGGATGCCCTTTTGAATTTGCTTCTTGAGTCTCCTGATTTTGCAAATGAAAACTGTTGGATTGATTGCCATTAAGTCTTATACAGAGATTGATAGTCTTTAGAGGATGAATCCTAGTGACTTTGGTAAAAACCTCTGACGTTTCATCTCTGCCATCATCAGACATTTTTTTCATCACTTTGTTTTATCACCAAAAGTAATTACATTCCTGTCAGCCTCAGCGTTCTGTTTGAGTGCTAATTAACAATTGTAGACTCTAAGGTTGTGTTCAGAATCCCATACTAACATACTAACATACTGCAAACTACATTTTCATTATTTTTGTACTCTACACTGCCCCCTAAATTGATTAAATTGTGTGCCATTACCAGCAGACTTTCACATCAAAGTAAACTCAAGCCATATTTCTTCCTCTCATGACTGTATCAATCATGACTCCATGTCTGAAGTCTGAGCTACCGTTGATTGAATTACAATGAATTTATATATTTTTTTTCTACAGTAAATGTATATGAGCTCTTCCAACTGTCCTCACTCACTTGCTATCATTTGTAATGATTTTATCCAACTGGTTTATAATTGTATTTGCTCCCGGTCTGTAGAGCTGCAATGCATTCTGATTAAGTTTGTCCTGTGGATACATGTCTCATATTTGAAAATCCTGCTAATCTGGTATACATTCTTGCATTTCTCAAAAACACAAAATCTACATACTATGCAGTTGATGGAACTACATACTATGTACATTGTGTTAGTATGCACTTTTTAACATAGCATTAGTCTAGCTGCCGTTTAAAAAGTCTGTAACTATAATGATGTGCTTCTAATACAAATCAATGTGTAACTAACATCCTCTAATAATGTGTGTGTGTGTGTGTGTGTGTGTGTGTGTGTGTGTGTGTGTGTGTGTGTGTGTGTGTGTGTGTGTGTGTGTGTGTGTGTGTGTGTGTGTGTGTGTGTGTGTGTGTGTGTGTGTGTGTGTGTGTGTGTGTGTGTTACTAACAGGCTGTATTGACCCTGAGCGCACTGCGGCGCTTCTTAACCGGAAGCAACAGAAACTTGTTCACATGGCAACACCTGGAGCCTCCCGCGGGCAGCGCTCGAGCCACACCGTACCCTATCGCTAACGGAGCTACCATAGTAACCACTAACCCCTATCAGGCTCCGCCCTTCACTGAGACCCTGGACCCCCAGAAGCTCACACAGCAGAGACCTGTGGCCCCTGCCTTCTAGAGACAGACAAACAGAGGTGTGTGTTGAGTGACACTGCGTACGACCATACACCCATGCGTACAACGCGGGCACGGACTACTTCCTGCCTCGCTGATAAATGGTTTTCCACCCTCTCATGGGATTGGCGAGATTTAGGGTCATGTGACGATGTATGAGCTATTTTCACCATGGCAACTGCTGGCTCAGCTTAGATAGTTGTAACTCTGTGTGTCGAGAATACTGTCTTCTGTTAATGCATACACACTCACACACACAGATATAGATGCACGGAAACACAGCTGTACTCACTCACCACTGGATATAAACACCTGGAAACACAAATGTATACACACCTGGAGGCACACACACACACACACACACACACACACACACACACACATACACACACACACACACACACACACACATACACACACACACACCCTGACTGCATGTTCATACGGCGAGGTGCAGAGTAACGTTAGATGTAGATCAGTGATGATGCTTCATCTGCCTTATGAAGGGATACAAAGTATTTAGTGAAGGAAGTATTGAGGACAGTGAAGCTGTGTAGCTACTGTTTACTACTCAGTCAGTCCGCCCAATCAGAAGCTGCCCTGCAGACATGTGGCACTTGATTGGCTGTTTCAAGAAAGGCAGGCAGCTTGACAAATAGACTGCTTGGATATGAGCGAGGGGCGGCAGAAATCCTTATATTTTCTTGGCAAGAAAATAAAGGCAAGACAGCTTAATGCATTCTGAATGCTGTACGGTTTCAGTGTTAAATATTCATGTGATTCAATATTTTATTGTGATATGATGAAGTGGTCAAATTAATTATGTAAAAATAAAATCTATCCACCACCGCTATCAGAGCTGTGAGTCTGCCTTTGTTCCTGTAATCTTTAAATAATGTCATATTTGCTTCTTGCAATGCGAGCAACTCATTTTAATATGCTTATGTATTGACACCCAGATCCAAGTATGTGTTTTATATATTACTCAACATCTGCTGGAGGACCATGACAAGCTATTTTTAATAATTAACCCTAAAGAACTTTTGGATTAAGCGATTTATGATGAAAGACATTAACAGGGTATATGCAGATATATCCTTTTTTGATTGTAAAACATCTTATTTAATATAGCACTTTTTTAAATTTCAAGTAACAAAGTGCTTCACAAAGATAGTAAAATAAAAAATAGACAGGTCATAAAATATCAGATTTAAAAGAAAAACGATCGTTGTTGACCATGTGACTCCAAATCAATACAGCATTGTACATGTATACTGGACAAATAAGACACACTTCTTACAATGGGGTCCTAATGCTTCTTTTTTATGTGAATATTGTTGTTATAACTCTTTGGTTTGTTAATAAAAAATATTGATTCCTTTCAATATCTTCCATGTCATTTGACCCACTTGTACCAAATCAATGTGGCATTGTATTTCTAGACAGGACCATTTTACAACTCAATTTATGGATTTTAGGCTATTCTATATAAATATGTTAATGAAAACTCAGCATGACCAGGTCCAATTTCGTTTCAGTATCTTCCATAACATGTGGGCAGAGAGGTTTTGAAAGTAAAATAGACATTTTGTCATTTAAATGGTCATTTATTGATGGTCCCTAAGCAAAACTCTTTGGTCATGAGCCATAACGTCTTGGTTGTGTGTTTAGCATCCTCTGACTGCCAACTTTCTCAACTTGAGTAAGAAGATGCTGCTTGCCTCAGAATGAATCCATGTCGAATATCCAACCTGAGACTTCACCATGGTTCAATTAACACTAAACAGTTTGATCAACTTTCAATACTTTCTAAGTCCCCGCAGGACACCTAGATCTTGTGTTTTTAAACCTTGGATAGAAAGGGTGAAAAGTGTATAAGGATTGTTATGGAGTCAAATAAAAGTCAGACAGGAAGTGGTTTTATTCCAACACTGTCCAGTCATGTTACTGCAGGTGAACTTACCATCATTCACTGCTTTCATCCTACAGGAACATTATACTATATTATGAACATTTGCATCACCCAGAGTCAGGATTATCATCATCATCACCATCTTCATCATCTTTAAAATCAGCATCCCATTACACTGATATCATAATCAATCATCTTCATTGCCGCCATCATCAGCAGATAAATTGACATTCAGACATGTAGAAATTCACCTTTGTAGTTCTCATATCATTGCCGCTTTGTTAATAAAATATAATCTTAGCCTTGTTTCTACAAAGTTGTACACACCGTTATATCACCTGAATAAGCCCTTCTGTTTCTTACTGAATTTCACCCTTAGACCCGAGCAATAAAATCTCTTCAAACGTCAGGCGAGACGGGCCAGCTCCAGATTCAGACAACAGGGGGGCAATCTAACTCTGCAGACCTGTGATCACATGCGTCATACTCACCTGCGTCTGAACTACCTCTACCCTGAGAATACTAAGACGGATAAAAGGAAAGTGAGGGGGGTGAGAAACTAAGCTGACTGAACATTCGAATGGGTGGGATCAGGAAAAAGAGAGGTAGAAACTACTAAGCTGAGGTCACACTACTCTAACTAAGAGGCTCTAAGCGCAAATAGATTTTTCTGACTCGATGGATTCAGGAGGGGGAGGCTTCTTAAATGTCACAAAATGTCCATGTTTGGTTAGACCGGAAAAAATACTGTTGGTTAAGAGGTACGAAAAGGGTCATATTTAAAAAAAAAAAACGTCCACTCTTGTTAGAAGACAATAAGATTCAACAAGTTGCTGTACAATTAGAATTTTTGGAGCAATAATTCTCTAATAAAGTGTGCCTGCACCAATCTACATAAGCGTGCAATTAAAAATTAAGCTTTTTTTATATAAAATGATTTGTTATCTTTAACCTTTGTGAGTTTTTCACTTAAAACTCAATTTTTTTTGTAAACATAAACTGTAATTTTCGCACCACAGAGAATAAAATGAGGGGATTTTTACTAAAAAGTAAACAGTTCTGGCAAATGAAAATGTAAGTCTTAATAATAAGATGCTGTATGTAGAGCTGAAAGACAGTTTGATTAACTGGTGTATCATTCAAAAAAATCTGCAACTATTTAGATTGTTACTACATTTCTTCTCAAATGTGAATCAGTGAGTTGTGAGTTTTCGCTCTATAGACCAAAAGATTCATGATTACTTAAAGAAATAATCTGCAGATTAGTCGCTATTTAAAAGAAGTTAGTTGCTGTGTTATTGTTTTTTAACATATGTGTACATGAGCAGATTAGTCAGAAACTGTAACTGTGCTGCATATTTCAGGTAATTTTGTCTTGTACTTTGACCTAGGCTTGAGGTGCGTGAAAAGGATGAGAGTGAGGGCAGAAGAAGGAGAGCAAGCAAGGGGAAGGTTAATGTTTGAGTAAATATAGCAGGGGCGGGACAACTATGTCTCAACTAAAGCTAGGACTATGATAGAAGAAACGGAAACGTCTTCTTATGTGCATGTTTTGTGCAGAAAGCACAACGGGTAAAGTCTTTGAACAGATACACACTCATACACACACAGTCCGAAATATTTCTGCTCAATCACCCTGTGAAACTCTTGTGATTGGACGGGAGGGGACGAGGAGATGTGCCCATAACAGGAAACAGGTATCCTTCCTGTTTCGGACTGTAACTCCCGCCCTTCGTGTGCTTCGGCAGCACATCAGGCTCCTCCTCTTCAACAATATGATCATAAAGAGTTTATTCAGTCGTCCACAGAACCCCCCTCTGGCTGATTAGGAGAGAGGGTCGTGGCGTCAAATGACAGAGTCCGCCTCCTCAGCTCAGAACTGCTGTCCATCACCTGGGTTGCCATAGTAATGGGCTCCTCTCCTGGCGGCGGGCTCACCCTCTGCTTCCTGTTCCTGCCCGACACCGGAGACACTGATTGGCTGAGGCGACTCCTGTGCTCCACGGGGCTAGGGGTAAGGTGTCTGCTTTTGTGTGGGGAGCCAGGAGGGAGTTGTGAGTGTGAGTGATCAGAACTGTTAATGTGGCCGACTTCCTCGTCTGTGGTGTCTGACTGTGGGCCGGGGTCCGGGCTGAGGCTGGCCGCTCTGCAGAGGGTCTTCGATGAGGTGGATTCACAGCTGGGCACCTTCAGGCTGGAGGGTCTCTGTGGGCTGACAGGCCTCTTCTCCACATCTGCTCCTGGCTGAGAGCCGCAGATGGCCTGCTCGGGTACATGTTCTTGCCCAGTGGTTTCACTATTGCTCCGGCTGTTACTCCTGCATGAGATGACCCTCTGGGGGTGTGTGAATTTCAGTGTGTGTACACTAGAAGATCTCTGGCGTGGTGGTGTGGAAGAGACAGCGGTCACAGTGAGGGGAGGCTCTGCCAAGTCGTCCGTTGAACCGCTCTGATCCATGGAGTCACAGCGCACAGCCGCCTGCAGACAAAGAAACACACATAGACGACACAGACAACGTGTTGGGTTGTGCAGGTAAAATCGTTTTCAAAATGTTGTGGAGGATGTCTAGAAAGAATCTCTAAAAGGATCAGAAATGTGAAGTCAAAGTGGCAAAAGAAACCTACCACTAGCGTTACATTTAGCAACTTAAATAGACCACAAATGGAAAACCAAGAAATATTTAACATACAGTATATAATGTATTCCCAATGCTGTTCAGAGTAATTAAATTAAACTACTCTTCTGCCATCAGCGAGGTGTCTCCACCTGTCCTCTGGCACCGTGCCCATGCTGCAACCAAAACAACCCCTGAGCTTTATGGAAATGAATGATAAATGCTTGCTGATGTAACCAATTTGAAGATAAGCATAAAACAAGGTGATTGCAATTTTTACAGCTAGGGCTAGCTGCTTTCCTTAGAGAATGAGTTGCAATCAAGCCTTAGTTTTCCAAACAGATTGTAAGCGGTGGCAGACAGAATTTCAGAGTGAAAGCAAGTCTGACAGGTAACCGATATAAAAGCAGATGGTGTTATTCAATAGCCATTTTATTATGTAATCAATAGTTATTCATCAATAGTAAGTTAGAGCTATATTATTGTCTGTTGCCTCTTCAAATATCTAAAATTGGCTGAATCTCTTTCTGTTTGAAGAGAGGAGAAAAGCAAAGAAGAGAGGACATTAAAGAAATGTGAAGAAAATATAGACAAGTGATAGTAACAAACCTGTCTCTGTAACACTTTGCTTGCTCTGCGGAAGGATGCTGGTCTCTTCAGGCCCGAGTTATCGGGAACATAAGAGGGGCTCAGCATGTTTCGGTCCAAACTTTCTTCAGGACTGAGCCACCGAGAAGAATGTCTGCTGGCACTGTGGGTGGGACTCAGTCTGAGTGAGGGTTGTCTGTCTATGCTGTGGCTGGAGGTGAGTTTAGGTCTGTCTGCGTTGCTGTCTGGATGGTGCCTGTAACCGTCCATACTGCGAGTGGAGCTGAGTCTGTGTCTGTTTATTCGATGGGCCGGGCTCAGCTTGTATCCATCTATGCTGTGAGCAGAGCTGAGTCTGTGCCGGTTTATTCCGTGAGCCGGGCTCGACCTGTACCCCTCGATGCTGTCAGCAGGGGTGAGTCTGTGTGTGAAGTGTTTGTCGATGCTCTGAGCGTTGCTGAGGCAGATCTTTGGCCTGGAGCTGCGTCCGACCCCCAGCGAGGCGTGGCTGAAGGCCGGCAGAGCTCCGGGAACCTGCAGCATGGAGCCGCCTCCACTGGAGCACAGAGAGCTCATGGAGCCTGCAGGAGAACATGGGGCAGAGTTCACATGGACACATTGAACACAAAAAGAATCCCGTTTTGCCAAAGAGGGAAGATGTTTCTAAAGTCAGGGATTGTCTAGACCTTGATTTTGACTTTGGATTTGGCTGTTTGTGATATTATTGAATTGCCTTCTTCCAATTGATGGGGATGTTTTCCAAATATTTACTTATATATTTAATGTTAGGATGCTTTAAATCCAATATACTATACTATACTAAACTACAATATAAAAGGAATAGTTACTGCATCACTTCTTACATTTTTTTTAATGCACAGTTTCATACCCCAAAGCCTTTATCTGGTTAGCAGGAAAATATTCTGTAAGATAGATCGGTGCTATCTTAGAGAACCCTTTTCCTCTAAAAGATCAAATCAAATTGCCCTTACAGAAAAATTCTGGTGATATTCTATATTTTTCCTATTTCCAGCTATTCAGAAAAAACAACAATTCACTGATCCTATAAATAAATATTGTCTGCATATCCGAAGCCTTATATCTTCTTTCTTTTTGCAATGGAGCATCATCCAAACTATTACAAACATCTCAGTGAGCCCCACTGAATGAAATGTTCCATTACCATGAACATGAGAGATCTTTTGCGTGTTACAGTATGAAAGACTATAAAAAATGGGATCAAAATTAAAATGACACATACAATAGATTTTTGACATGTATATAACTCAAAATCCTAACATTGATGTGTTGATCAATTGTTAATAATCCAATATTATCAAAGCAAAGTGAAAACATTCTAACACATCATCATCCTTAACTCAGGCCTTTGTTTGGAAATCCCCGAGGCTCAGCATCCTACAAAGCCATGTAATACAATTGTAAAATCATATTTTAGATGATTTGTGAGTTGATATAAATGTTACTGATGTGTTCAACTCTTTGGAAGCAAATGGAAATCACATATGGGCAGAATTTGTTATATTAGCAAATATCGTATCGTTGTCCAAAGAATTAAAATAATATCGTAAAGTGGTAAAACTTTCTATTTACGTTTCTGTCATTTTGTTTTGTACAAACAAGTCTAACCAATTTGTTCCTGAAAAAAAGACTAAAAATCATCTCCCTCTTAAAGGTCTTGTTGTGCTGCATCACATCTCAACTGCATTTTCTGCTATTTATGGAAGCAATAACCTTTACAGCGATCAGTTAGTGGTTGGAGCACAGTGAGAACTGTTCCTCAATTTAATTGGCCATAAACAACCAAATTACCTGAGTAGCTGTAGCCGGAGTACGCCTCGTGGCAGATGGGAGGATAGGGGGAGCATCTGAGTGGCTGAGCGTAGCTGTCGCTGGGGAGAGACGGCTTGCGTCCTATGCTCAGCAGGTTGCCATGGGAACAATCCTCATCCTCAACCTGCACCTGTCACATGGGATCATCACCACTGTCATCGTTATTGTCACCCACACCCTAACCCTCTCACATAAAAAATAGGAAAGCAGACTTTTTGTGTTACCTGGGCAGGTGTGTCCACGTTAGGATGCTCTCCACCAACAGACGCAGAACTGAGGCGCCGGCAGGCCGCCTCCCTCTCCTCCCTCTCCTTCATCTCCTCCCTCTCCTTCATCTCCTCCTTCTCCTTCCTCTCCTCCATCTCCTCCAGCGCAGCCTCCTTGTTGCTCTCCTCGAGGTGCTTCATCAGAACGGCCACAACCACATTGACCAGCACGAACTGAGCCGTCAGGACGAAGGTCACGAAGTAAACGGGGGAGATCAGAGGAAGGTAGGTGAGGCAGTGGCGTTCATTAGGACGACACTCTCGCAACGTATCCTGGAAGACAAGGGGAAAGAGATTACAAGGCAATATAGAAAACTGATTAAAGGTTGTTTTCAGATATATTTAGCGGACATATTGTGCTTATTTTCAGGTTCAAAAAGAAAATGTTTCTATGATGTTCAAAAAACACATTTGTATCATACTGTCAATCTCAATATACCTGTATTTACCCTCCGTTGTAAAAACCTGTCACTTTGAACACCTGAAAAGCCTCAGTCTGCTCTGATTGGCTTGTTAGAAACATTGCAAAGGGTTATCAGTGGTGGAGTTAATCAGATAGTTAGGTATATTGAGACTTATGAGAAGCCAAAACTAAATGACTTCTTATATCCTGTGTTTATTATCTTGGCAGCCCACATAAAAAAAGCAGGTTCAGGTCAGCAGGGACTCCAGATACCCAAATGTTTGTTCTTATTTAAATATTTCCCCTCCAGTTGACTAAGTTGTATTTCCTCTCTTCTCCAACAGGGGGAGATGTGTATCTGAGTGTGAACAGACCTTCAGCCTGTCACAGAAGAATAATATACTCCCCTAACCCTCTAATGTCAGCAGCCTGTGCATTAAGCAGAGGGAAGATCACTGTTTTTATGACAGACCTTGGTCTGTCATAAAAACAGTGATCTTCCCTCTGCTTAATGCAATGCCTGTCTCCTAACCGACGCTTTGAGACAGAAACATGTGCGCAGACACAAACATCCATCCGTCTTCTTAAAAACTCCCACACAGCCGAGGAGAGGAAGTGAAAATAACCTTCATAATCCCATTCCAGTTGTCCCCGGTAGACACCCTGAAGAGTGTGAGAAAAGCCATGCCGAAGTTGTCAAAGGTGGCGTGGCGACTGAGGCCCTCACATGGGTTATCGTCTGAACACTCTGAAAGAGGATGGAAAGAGTATTAGAGGCTGTGTGTGAGAGAGGACGGCGAGGGGAGAGAAGAAAGAGGATTGTGTGTAGATGATTGCACTCATTAAAAACACTGATTCTGAATCGACATCATTAATGTATGTAACAACACAATTTATGCAAGTTACGTAATCTCGTCAGAGTCAGCTGAGGCACACACACTCACACACACACATCTGTGCGATTTATATGCATGCACTCACACACACGCACATGCATGCACATACACGCTCACACACACTAACCCAGTTTTCCAAAGAGCTCAACTCCCAGAGCTGCATAGATGAAGAACAGCAACATGAAGAGCAGACCCAGATTCCCCACCTAGACAGACATATTACACGCACACACAGATATAAACAGCGTATGATACACAGAAAAAAAGACATGTACAGTATACATGGAGAGAGACACAAACATGCAGACAGATAGAAAGAGGCAGAGAATGCTTAAGCCTTATTGCATTGATGTTTACTACGTTTAAAAAAAATCATGACACCTGGAGTACAATCACATCTCAGATTTTTTTTATTTGAGAAACAGAGGGGCACTTTCATATCCTGGATCCAGTCCTCTTGAACCACAAACATGCCTGTTTATTCTCATTTAAAAGCAATTCACAGGGACTTGGCTTGTGTAACCCCATGGTGGGAGGTATGGAGGTGTCTGCTTAGATGACGAATAAACGTATTGATGAAGTGCACTCGGACACCACTGCACAGACCTGGGTTAGATCCCCCGCAATGGTCTGTCACATCAAAGACAATTTGTGGGTGGGAAGGCAGTGAAGGATCATGGGGAATTTTGCTGCACTAATGTGTGGACAAACATCGAATGAACGCAGCTCAGTGTGCTATGATTTTGGAATTAGCCACTATCATTTGAGGGGATAAATAATTATAATTTAGCTGCCTTCTAGGAACAGGATAGAACAAAATAAATCAGTTTATAAACGTCTGCCTGCCCTGCATAGCTGTTCTCACTTATTGTACACCACCTTCCCTCCCCCCTTCCTCTCTTCTCTCTTATTTTCTGGTCCCCTGAGGGTCCGCTGAGCCGAGGGGGCTGTGGTAGATCCTTCCTGAATCCTTCCCCCCACACCAGAGTGCAACAGTTCACTATTCTCACCAATTACTCTTCACACGTTTCATATTCAAACAAGTCTAAGAGTCACACACTAGCAGCTGTAGGCAGAGCATTGCTTTGAGTGTGGATGACGTACAAAAGCTGTGAACACGCTGATAATTAGCAGTATAGTGTTTACCATGTTAAAGTATTGATGTAACGTTGATTCTGGCCAAAACTTTCGATTGACGATATTATCCTATTAATTGTCCAAATATGCTTAGAAATAGCACTACAACATACTGGAAACACTTTATCTTACATGTCTTTCTCACTTTATTCCATGCTAGTAGCTTAACAGTGTTTCTATACTCACTATCTTTGTTTGTCGGTTAGCATGCTAACATTTGCCTAATAGCATCTAACATAAAAACGCAGATGTCTTTCATTTGCAGATATTTGGTCAAAAAAAACGTTTTTTGGACACCTCAAATATTTTGGTATCAAGAAAATGTGAGAGTTATAAGACGGGATGAGAGCAACAATTTAAAGGTGTTACTCAAGAAGATTTTCTTTTAAAAGCCATATATCACAAATTCCAAATAACTTGATTTATGTCTGATCAACTTCTTTGTTCCTGTAATTTACCAGGATTCTACAATGCTCTTAAACAGGAGATCTAAATAAGCTTCAGGATATATTAGATAGATGGGCGAGACCTTATAACTAAGGTAACATAACATTTACAGTAAAGCTTTTCTGACAAGACACAGCCTCCAGATATTGAGTTCAAAGGGCGTTCAGAGGGTACGGTTATGTAAGGTATCACAGAAGTTATACAATCTCATCCTGAGGGCAATATGGACGTGTGCAGCTAATTCCATGGCAACCCCTCCAATAGTGGCCAAAAATCTAACTTCGTTGTGGTGTTAGAGGAAAAGTAAGAGGGTCACTGAAGTCATTAGCCTTCATCATCTGGGGGTCACACATATCTATACAAAATGTCCTCACAATCCATTCAATAGCTGAGTTATTTCAGTTTGGTGGACCGACCGCCTGTCCTTGCCTCGCCTGGAGCCACTAATGTGTCTAAAGAGTGCTTGTGAATATCTTGTTTAGACCAATAATAGCACTGCGTCAAAAGAAATGTAGCATCCTGAATGAGACAG